AAAGTATTCGATTTATATGTGGAAATGTCGAAGTGTTCGGTATGGATGCTTAGAGTTTATGAAGTTGGTGTATTATAGTATTATGTGTTTGGAGTGGGTACATTGTTAGTTGTAATGATCTAAACTGGAGTGACCTAGTTTAATTTAGCATTGTTGTTCTGGTTTCGTTTTTCAGATACTTCTATTTTTTTTTTCCCTCTTTGTGATTTGATTTACTTATGCGACTTAATGTTGTGAAATGAAAAGCACATTCAGTTGCTGGTACGTGAATGCCATAAAAGAAGATTAGCATTTCGTATTGATTCTTAAGATTCACTGGATCTGAGATCAAAATTTGAACATTGAGTTGTATTTGCTTAGTTATATCATTGCTGGTCTCGCTGGATCTGAGATCAAAATTTGAACATTGAGTTGCATTTTCGTAGTTTAAGTTATATCATTGCTGGTCTGGCTGACTTAGAGTGATAATCTTGTACAGATTGACTTATCATCCCATGTAGTACGGTCCGAGACATCACTGAAGGTAGTTTTCCTCCCTAGTTGTTGATATAAGTCACAATTTATATAATTTACAAGCTATGGGTTGTATTTGGCTTATTTTATTAACTATCGGTTTACAATCTTCTGTCCCAGGTACAAAATAACGGCGATGATGCCGTATCAGAGATATTGTTGCCGTTCCCTGAACTTCAAGCGAAGAGCTTGGCTTTCCTTTCAGCAGTAATTGATGAAGGGAAAGGGAAAGCAAAAGCCTATTCTGATAGAGTTCCTATTAATGTTGCGAACCCGGAAGGCATGCCTCCAGCATTGACTTGGTATTCGCTCACATTGCCCAAGGCACTAGGTAAGGGTGAAAGTGTGACTTTGGAGGTCAAGGCGGTCTTTACTCATTTACTGAGGCCCTTCCCTGAGAAGATAACTCAGGCCGATTTCCAGCTCATTGCTTTCCAAGATGGTGCTTATTTTCTCTCTCCTTATCCTGTCAAGGTCCAGTCGCTCACTGTTAAGTTACCTGAACCGAAAGTTGAATCCTACACCAAATTGGAGAATAGCAAGTTTTCTGGTCAGGAAATCAAATATGGGCCTTACGAGAATATTCCTCCTTTCTCGTACCCACCAATTGTGGTTCACTTTGTGAACAATAAGCCGTTCCCCGTCGCTCAAGAGTTGGTGCGTGAGATAGAGATTTCACATTGGGGAAATGTGCAGATTACAGAAAATTATAACCTTGTTCATGCTGGTGCCGAAATGACTGGGGAGTTCTCCAGGTATACCTTTTAGTTTTGCCACATTAGGAAATAATCTTGTTGTATGTCTGTCGTCATTTAAAGATTATTAATAATGAACTATCATTGATACGTGCAGGTTAGATTTTCAGGCAAGGCCCCATCTGAGAGGTGCATATGGATTAAGAAATCTTATTACTAAATTACCTCCAAGAGCTCATTCTATTTATTACAGGGATGAAATAGGAAATATTTCTACATCTAATGTGTGGACTGAATCTTCAATGGTGGGCTTCGATTCTCCTGGTAAATGTTTTGGTTTGGCTATGTAATTTTTCTGAACACTCTGTTTGTAATACAGACTCTGCTGGAAATCGAGCCTCGATATCCAATGTTTGGTGGTTGGAGAACCTCGTTTACTATTGGATATGGTTTACCTCTTCAAGATTTCGTGTTCAAATCAGATGGAAAACGTTTTCTCAACATCCCCTTTGGGTGCTCGATTAATGACGTCATTGTCGAAAATCTCACTGTAAAGGTAATATCACTTAATGTTTTATTGACTGTTTCTGTCCAGAGTGTTACTTGTTTCAGCAAGCATATGAGTGTTAAAAAGGAGTAATGGCATGAAGCTCTTGGACTTTAAATTCATGAGAACACATACATTTTGTTGTTTGCGCTATCTTGTAATTTGTGATCTTCGGTCACTTATCCACACTCTGCGCTTTCTCATATGTGATGTTAGTGCATTAACTTATTAAGGTAGTGACCCTATTTACATAGGGAACGAATTGCTAGAGTCATTTCACATTCAAACTTTTTCACAATACAGCATTGCTTTGCTG